TCGTCGATTCTTCTCTCTTTTATAAATCGGGAAACCGATAAGAAAATAATAATTTTTTTTCTAAGTCAGTTAGAGAGAGATTACTTTGAGAGATTGTATTCATTCTTTTTCTAACTCGGTTAGAGAGATTAATACTAATTTATATCTCAGTTTTCTTCCAATTTTTCCTACAAACATACACAATACAATTACCCCAGACAAGTGAGTTATAATAGCATTTTTTATTCACATCGTTTGGGGACAAGATTTGATATGGACCTTGCATCAAAGAAAAAAATTTATATTTAGAGCACATGATGAAATATATCATAATCTCTCTGCTCTAAATTTGCAAGAAAATAATCCTTCATATTTTCAATTTTACTTCTATGAAACGGAGAATGAGTTATAAAATTGAATGAGAATATTAGATAATATAAATATGAGTGAAACCACAACTAAAAGTTAATGTGAATATGAGTCAAACCACAACTAAAAGTTTAATGGACATATTACAACTAAATTCATATGCAAAATTCTTTGTGAATTGAATGATGATCACCTATCTTTTGAAGACTTCAATATCATACTCTCTTTAAAAGCACGAGTTCAGGAAAACCTTTTAGTAGACAAAAATACCCTTGAAATTTAAATACTAATCCATTAAGTAAGAGTAAGTTGATAAATTGATAATTTTTTATTGGTTATACATAGTATGAATATAAGGATATGGTTTAAATTGAAATGTAAACCTGAATGAAAGAGAAGCTTAAGTAAATTAGATGGTTTATTAAATGCCAAATTTACCCCCCTCGTTCTTATATGTGATCAATGATCAAATTGCAAACAACTATTCATATGCTACGTGATTAATAATGCCAAAGTGAGAGCAGTTATTCATATGCTATATGATTAATAATTACACACAATGTGGCGATCTCTCACTGACTAAAATTCAAGTAGTTCACAATATGCTTATGTTAATTAGAAGATTTATTAAATATCAAATTTAACCCCTTGCTCTTATATGTGATTAATGATCAAACTACAAACAATTATTCACGTGCTACATGATTAATAATGTCAATTTGCAAATAATTATTCACATGCTATATGATTAATAATTATACACAAAGTGCTATCTCTCACCGACTAAAATTGAAGTAATTCAAAGTACTGCATAGTTAGTTTTAAAATTTAATTATACTATTATTATTTAAATAGAACTCTATTTATAATTATTATCCTCTCACATGCAACATCATGTACCAATATATATAAGCTAAGAAATTACAATAATTTCTATAGCACTTTTATCTCCTTCTACAGGCATGTGCCTTTGTTATTAGGTTAGATTAGATTATTTTAAAGTAATTAATTATATTATATATTTGATCTTTTTTAGAGCAAGAAATTACAAATAATTTTCACAGTACTTTTATCTCCTTCAATAAGTATGTGTCTTTGTAATCTTCTTCTTATTAGAATAGATTAGATTGTTTAAGAATTATGAATTATAAAATTGTAATAATTTTTACAGTATTTTCATCTATTTTTATTATTAGATTAGATTAGATTATTTTAAAGTAATTAATTATATTACATATTTGATTTATTTTCATATCACAAAGTTTAATTATACTATTATTATTTAAATAGATACTGTTTGTATAAAAGTCAAAGAGAATCTCACACGTACCTTTGATCTCAATGCTAATTATAATAGTTATATATGATTTTGGTTAAAATAAATTTCATGTATGGGGTTAACTTATATAATCCTACTTTAATCGGATTAGATAATTTAACATTTGTTCTTTACACCTAAACGATTCCACAAAACCAAGAGATTTTTAAAATAAATCTTGGGGGTTGCTTGCATTAAAAAATTATGTTAGAGGACCCATACAGTCTGTTTTATATTTTAAGTTTGTCAACACATTTTATCTCTTATGCATATCAATTATGAGTAATAATATAATTTAATTGATCTAAGTATATCCTAATATATTTCTAGACTCTTATCTTGTCTTTTGCTCTTTATCATGTACAAACCTAGCGATTCTTATTCAATTCCTTTTTTTTCTTTTTTGTCTCTTGACATTGTCTTTTGTTCTTCATTATGTACAAACTCATTTCATGGATTAGGGTTATGGTTTTTGAGAGGGGAGCAGAAGACAAATAGGTTAATTTTGATGTTGGACTTTATTATTTAAAGAGATTAATTTTAAGAAATTCAACTCCAACCTGATATCACAATTGATGAAGATGATGAAGACGCTACTCTATAATTGTCCAATAAAAAGATAAATGTGGAGAAAGATTGATCTCGACTCAATTAAAATATGAAATAAAAAGAATAAATAATAATATTTTTTGAACATTTTATACTATAACATAATTTTTGAGTAAAAATAAGAATTTTTAGAATGAATTTTCGTGCAAATTTTTTTAGTATTTTTGTATGCTTATGTGATTGCTTTTATCGCATAAAATTATATCATAGTTACCATTAATCTTTGATTTTGTCTTTTTATTATTTTAAGTCTATCAAATAATATAGGCTGAGATCTCATATATATATAACTTGATTTAGCTATATTATGGATGATCCGTTCTGTTAAACTTGATCTACATATTCTAAAACCCCAACACACTAAATTTGGGGTAAACCCGTCATGGTTTGACCCTTCATCCACTCGTATAAATTTTAACGATTTCGAATGAATAGAACTTTTTACATGGCTTGACGGAGGGTCAAACCACGACGAGTTCACCCCAAATTTGATGTGTTGGGGTTTTAGAATATGTAGATCAAGTTTAACGGAGTGGATTATCCACAATGTAGCTCAATCAAGTGATCATCAATGACTAAGAAACTTAGTGGACGTCCACTTAAGTTGACATAAGTTTTTCTATATATAATAATATATATATATATATATATATATATATATATAATCTATATATACTATAGAGAGAGAGAGAGAGAGAGAGAGAGAGAGAGCAGAGAGAAGACATGAGGATAATTTTTAGCCAACACACCCACCCAAATTTTTTTAAATGCTTGGTAGACCAAGCAAACCCAATTTCAATATATATTATATATATATTATAAATATATATTATATATATATATAATACTATATATAATAATATATATATATAATGATAAATATTATAATATATAACATATAGAGAGAGAGAGAAGAAGAGAAGAGAGAGATGAGAAGATGAGAAATATGGGTATGCTTGGAAACCAAGCAAAAAAAATAGCTTTGTAGTGAGGTGTCCAATCCCCCTCCAACTCATCTCAAAAAGGTGGGAACAAATTCAAATGGCTAGTGAGTGGATGGAGGATACACATCACTACGCAATATAAAATTTGTGTTGTACCCAAGCATACCCATAATTTCTCACACACACGCACCACACACACGACCAACATACACCCCAAACACACACACACCCCACACACATATATATATATATATATATATATATATATATATATATAACTATATATATATATATATATATATATATAATAATATATATATTATATATATATATATATATATATATATATATATAATAGATGAGAGAGAGAGACGAGATGAGAGAGAGAGAAAGAGAGAGCATTAATGGTATCATATGTCATATGAGAGGATTCCCTCCATATACAATGACTGAGTATACCCCCGTGCTAAGCACGGCCCTCGCCTCTTTTCTACCATTGCACTTGGAACATAGTATATGTTTAAACAAATTTCCCATATAACATGTACATGAAGTTGCTTGAGTGACAACCAATCATGAATTTTTACGAAGGAGTTATCTCTTGATGCATATTTTACTTCATCATACAAAGCAATGCAAACTAACCTCTTAACTATACCGTGCATCAAAGACAAACATTACAATATCGTATATTTATCATTAGGGAGAAAAAGAAACGAAGCCAGTAAAAAGAAGAGAAATAAGAGCAAAGCCTGAAATAGAACTATTGTAGGCTTAAACATGGTCTTGTATTATTTAGGCGAGGAAATTTCCTACTCCGAGATCTTCTTAATGACCTTCTCCATCACCTGAAAACCATAGAAGTTCCCCATCACTGAATCTAAGAGAAAAATTATAGAAAATGATGATTGACATGTCCAAAAAAATATTATCAAATATTAAAATCCACTACCATAAATCATCAATTAAGTATAATAATCTCTTTATTAATGTGTCTTTTCAAAAATTCTTTATTAATGTTAAAGAGAAATAAATAGAAAATTGTGAATGTAAGGTTATTGAAGTTGAAAATAGTAATAGATATAAACTTTACAAACATATAATTATAAATACTTCTTCATCTATTACAACTTATAATTTACCCACACAAACACAAAATCTTTTCTTTTGCAAAGAAAAATATGACTCACACCAATAGAAAGAACATCCTTCTAATGTTTTGTTCCTAATCAGAAACATATATACTTTACAAATACACAATTATGAATTATGCCTTAGCATCAATTATTTATTCCTTTATTGTGCCATGGAAACTGAAATATCACAATAAAGATCATTCTTTCATAACTGTCATTACCCAAACTTCTAAAAATGATCCTAACTGTCATTGACGAAATTTAGAAACTTTAGCATTTATCTTCATGGTTATACCATCCCTAGCCATCATTAACCAAAATTTTAAAGATCACATAACTACTCAAAACTAAAACCAAAATAGCACAATAAAGGTCAATATTTTCAATGCATAAATGTGTGAAAAAGGCTGGTTACTATAAAAGACATACTTTGAAAATTCTTATAGAGAATAGTTATACAGTTTCCAGTTGCATTGATTTGAGATTCTCCTTCTCTCCAACGACTTCTTATTTTTCGATATAAATTGCAGCTCTTGAGCTCTCAAGTTCGACCTTAGAAGCAACCAACTTTTAAATATCTATAGCTAGCTGCACTTCTCCAGCATTTTTTCTCTATATAAAGATTCCTTCCACTCCTTCAATAATCTAAAATTTGCATCTCTCCTTTTCCTTATCCTGCAGCTTCTGCATTTTGCCATCCAATAATTGCTCTCCCATCAAATTTTGCTCCTCTCTATAGCTAATCTCAATTTTCTTCTTCTCCAGATCATCCAGTTTCTCTTTAAGATCTTCCTCGAAGGAATTTCTTTTTTTATCCAACTCCAACTCAAATTCTTGATTCTAGGAATCCAGAGACAACTTAAGATCACCAAGGAGCTTCTGAACCTTCAACCTCATAGAAAAATATAAAAGGGTCAAGCTTAATTAAGGGAAGAAGATAAAGAAAAAGTAGCTTTAAAAAGGTATTGGAAGTGTAATTAGAAACCAGTGATGAGAAAATTCAAAATCAGAAAATACACATATTTTAGCTCCTTGACCTATTGCAACCGACATGATTATGAAGTCTAAGAAATAATCCAAATCTTGACTCCTATGATGCATAGATGAAAAGTTGAAATTTTAGAACATAGATTAAAAGGTTTTTACATTAAAGGAAGCATAATATTTGCAAAAAAATGTTAGAATTCATGGCAATTTCTATGATTCACCCGCTTTTAGTATTTAACACTACTAGCTGAAATTGTTTCAACCATGCATATGCATTACTTTGATGTTGGAGTTGGGTCTTGTTCGTATATTCATGATTGACAATTATTCAATCACTTTACTCAATAGAAAAGAAATATGTAACAACAAACAATTCATTTAAAACCAACATATTAGAGGGGGAAAATTATGAATGTCATACTTGTAGGATCTTTTTAGAACACCAATAACACCTAATAAGGTAAGAAATTGGTCGAACTTGTAGCTATAAGATACCTTGATGAATTATTAATGCATTTTGGCTTGAAAAATGAGCATTTGAAACGATCCAAGAGAATTTACCGGCATACATAAAAATGAGCATTTGAAACGATCCAATGATGTATTGAAAAAAAATAAAGGCTATGGAGACAAATATAATGACTTTTGTAGCATGAATAATAATTAACAAATTTAGTTCAAGAGTGTTAACATAGTCTATAATGAAACTATTTTGACTAACATTTATCTAAAGCTTACACCAAAACTTTAAAAAAGGTAATATTTGCTACTTTAAACGTAAAAGAAGTTGATACCTGACTGGTTCTTCCATTCTCATCTGAAAATTTTTAATCAATCAGTTTGAGCCTGAAGCAAAGAGGATAACTAAACACACAACATAAGTCGATCAATTGAAATGATTAAAATCTTTAAAACCTGAAATTTGAAAAAGGCGAAAAAAGATAATTCGTACGAATAGCGAATAATTCCAATCACAAAAAAATATCAATTCATTCCAATCAAGCTCTCAAGTTAGTTACAGTTTTTCAACACTGTCAAATGATTTACTCGATGTCAAGAAACTTTCAAGCAACATGCAACTTGCAACATTTCCTTGTTTTGCAGGACATTGATATATATATATAGGCTTTGCAATCAGGCAACATGCAACATGACAACGGCAACATGACAAACTACTTGGATTTACTCAATGTCAGATTGCTTAATAAAGATGGTAAATAACAGTGAAGATAATATCAAAGGCTAGACTTAAGAAGAGTTTTTCGAATTACCTGATGTAATGAGAGCTAATTTACTTGAGTGGATTATGAATGTAATGAATGTAATTGTATAATAATGGGAACTTTGAGGGAGAAACATGAGTTTGGAGGGAAAATATATGCATTAATTACCTTGGTTGTATTTGAACAAAATAAACCAAAATAAACCAACAGGATGTCAAATGGAAAAATATAATACAAACTCTATAAATAACTCAGAATTGACTAATTTTAGAATAACAACACTCAAAAGCAATTTTTTAGGTAACCATGTGTAATTTCTCAATTGAATATATGGAGGACACACAAAATTATCATAGAATAATTGCTATATTAACTCCATTTACAAAAGAATAATTTGCATAATACATGATAAACACTAAAAACATAGTTGAGTGTGATAATCAGGGACCGGATCGAGTCACCTTTGGTAAGATCATTGACAGATCAACACCAATATAGCTATTTCTAACTTGCTTCATTTGTTCAGTTAGTCTATCTGAATAACTCACCATGTCATAAAGAGTAAGCATGATATATATATGATAAGAACTAAGCTGAGCGTATAATTGTGTGAAACTGAAAGAACATATTGGAAGAGACGAAGGCAATAGACGGACAACACTATAAACTGCAACAAACCTTTCATGTAAATACTTTCATGAAATATTAACACAGAATAATATTTTGCCAGGAGTTTGGACTATACAAAGCCTTAACATTGCTTCTTTTTCAACCATGCACCCATTAACAGAGAGGAAGATATTTCTTTCAGTTTGACAAATCATAATGAAGGAAGAGCTAAATTATACAAAAAAGAAAAAGATCCATACTATTGCCACTTCTTGATGAGAAGTGAGCGTAGTAAATGAATCCACCACATTCAGCAACTGCAATACTAAAGGAAATATTTATAAGAATCATAAATAATGGAGATGCAATATTATACACATATAAGAAGAAAAATATGTATAAATAATTTGTTAAAAAAACATTTATTGAAAAAAATATAAATACTCTACAATGGTTATAGTTATAACATCTACAATTCTATAAATGAACAAAAAGATATCAAATTAATTTGACTTCAGATCCTAAGAAACAAAATTTGATAATAAAATTAATAAAAATAATCAAATATAGTAAACTGTCATACATAGAATGTTGGCATTCCCCTTCAATCATGTTTCAGCTTAGTTTAATGAAAGCAAAAGAAATATATGGCTAAAAGAATATCATTGTATAGCTTGGTTGTGGTTTAGTAAACTGTCTAGGGTCAACTGTGTTTGAACTTAGGAAGGAATCCTCTGAGCCATTTTTCATTCAAATCAAATAGAATCACGTGTTTACTTTTCCTTAAAATAGAATCACACGTTTACTTTTCCTTTAACAATTGTTACATTCATGCATTACTTTGCTTCCAGAAAATATATTTTCTGAATTTTTTACTATGCTGGCCTTTCTGTAGTTTTTTGCATTTTCTGACCTTTCTCTTCAACTTTGCAGGCAAGTAACATATAACAGACATAAGTGTTCAACTTGCGCACACATGGGCTCTTTATATTTAGAAGAAAACCAATTGAAAATTAAAATTCATAGAAAGGCAAATTTTTGCATGGAGTTCTGTTGTCATTCTTTTATCCTCTGCACAACCTTTTGGTTAAATCCTCAAAATTCTAATTTCTCGCTTAATGTTCAGTTTGTTCTTTTTTTTCTCTGCTGCTGCTGGTGTAGGCATAAATATGCTAAAACATACCCACAAGATGTGACATTATTTCCATTATGGTAACTGTTCCGATATAATGATTTTGTGTGACATTATATTATATATTCATAATACTGCTAATGAAAAGGGCTAAAGGTCAAATCTTTTGTTCTTCAAGTTTTACCAGCAAACTATTTTAGGCTTCTTTTTTTAAGCATTATCTTAATTCATTTTGACTTCAGTAACGAAATCAGCATTTTGGCAGGGATGATATGTACATAATTTGACTTCAGTTAGCTTATGATCATACAACATTAGTTGTTTAAATTCATGCAAAATATTATCTACCATACATGCTTTAACATTTGGGCAGGGATGATATGTACATAATTTGTCTGTTAAGAAATAAGTATGAAAGTAAACTGAGAAAGTAATTAAGGCTTTACATTTCTTGTAATCAGATAAACCATAGAATTTCCAAAATTTCAATGTGGCATAAGTCTCGTGTGCTTCATTTACTCTTTTCTTTCTCTCTATGCAACAACTCTCTTTTCTGGGTTCTTTTGAGAGTGTACTATTTTGACTGTAATCGCTAACATGATTGAAGGAACTACACATTCCACTAAATATCACTTAATCTAACAATATAATTACTCAATCAATCTACCCCTAAGAGTGTTCAACCTAAAATTTACAAATAACTCAATTCTAAATAATTAAGCATAAAAATAATTGAAAATCAAAAAATTCAAAAATTACATTATGTTCCAAGAAATTCAAAATAAATTGGAAAATGAGTTGAGAAGAGATACATTGTCGTCTTTGTCTTCGAGGTCTTTGGAGTCAGAAGCCTATGGAAGAAAAAGAGGACTTTGATCTGAAGTAAACAGAACAGATATGACAAAATCAATACATCATCAAAGAAGACTTTGATCTGAATCCACCTGCAATTTCCATCACTAAATATCATCAATCAGGACATAAAATCCTCATAATCAATCAATACTGTTCAACAAAGGGTTATGATCACTAAATTTAAGGAATTATAATCCAGCAATTTTAAGGAATTTTTAAGGAATTTTTTTATTTGTGTTCACCTGTTGATACTTGAAGGCACATTCTCAGATGACACGATCACAACTTGGATATCCTTGAGAGATTGTGAATATTTTCAAAATAAATAAAAAATAAAATTTTCAAAAAGTATATATAAAAAGCTCACATTTTGTTCAAGATGAGTATAAGAAGAATAAGAAGATGATGAATCTACTTGCTCATCTTGCTGCAACCCAAGAAATTCTAAAGCTTTGCTTCCAGAATCCACAGTAGTAACTGAAACATCATCGAAACAATTAGTAAAAAAAGAAGGAAAATTGAAAGCATGAAAGGATGAAATTGGCAATCTTTGAAGGTTAATTCAACAAATCCTGCAACGCAAATCAACCTCAAATAACTCAGCATCCACGCTGCTCTCCCCACTCAAATCAACCTCTTCAGCGCAATGCTGGAAAACACTGCACAAAGGTCCAAAATAAAAAAAAAAGTTAGGGTTAGGGTTTTGAACGGACTCGAGGAGGGATGGATAGAGGAGGTGGCGGTGGCGGCGGAATAGGGCGTCAGCGAGGTGTGAGGGGAGGCGCTCCAGCGTATAATCGCTTCTGACGTCTCCATGCCTCGACGATGGTGGCCGTTGACGATGCCGAAGAGAGGAGAGGAGCTGAGGATCGAGGGGTTTGAGCTTAGGTTTGGGGATCGGCGATTGTCGAGCCTCGGGGATCGGAAGGCCGAGATCGTCTTCGATGATTTCTTGAGGCGATTTTTTTATCTCTGGTGAATGAGGATAGGGGTGAGAAGAGGTGGAATTATAGGGGGTGTTTTGAAATTTGAATTTTGAGCTGATACGGGATATAGGTGTGGGAGGAGAGAGACTGTTCAATTTACTGTAGCATGATCTCTGAATTCACCCTTTCGTATAGATTTCATATATATATATATATATATATATATATATATATATGAGAAATATGTGTATGTTTGGTACCAAGCACAAAAAGTTGTGCTTGGTAGTAAGGTGACACAATCTCATCCACTCATTCAAATGAGGGACCACATTCACCATTTGAATGAGTGGAGAAGATTGCGCCACCTCACTACCAAGCATAAAATTTGTGTTTGGTACCAAGCATACTCATGCACGTTTTGTACCTAATTGATTTGAGCAAAAATTTGTACCTAGTTATTAAAGTTTTATATGTACTTATGCACGTTTTGTACCTACTTAAGCACGTTTTGTACCTCGTAGCTCTTGAAAAAAATTTATTGCACCCACATAATCAAGATTTGTACTCACTTAATTAAGTTTTCTATATATAAGCATGTTTTGTACCCACTTAGCCACGCTTTCTACTTATTAATGTTTTGTACTCACTTATGCACGTTTTGCACCTCATTGATCTGGAAAACAAATTTGTACCTAGTTATTAAAGTTTTGTACCTACTTGAGCACGTTTCGTACCTACTTAAGCACGTTTTGTACCTCGTAGCTCTTGAAAAAAATTATTGCACCCACATAATCAAGATTTGTACCCACTTAGCCACGTTTTCTACTTATTAATGTTTTGTACTTACTTATGCACATTTATCACCTCATTGATCTGGAAAACAAATTTGTACCTGGTTATTAAAGTTTTGTACCTACTTGAGCACGTTTTGTACCTACTTAAGCATGTTTTGTACCTCGTAGCTCTTAAAAAAATTTATTGCACCCACATAATCAAGATTTGTACCCACTTAGCCACGTTTTCTACTTATTAATGTTTTGTACCCACTTATGCATATTTTGCACCTCATTGATCTGGAAAACAAATTTGTACCTAGTTATTAAAGTTTTGTACCTACTTGAGCACGTTTTATACCTACTTAAGCACGTTTTGTACCTTGTAGCTCTTGAAAAAATATATTGTACTCACTTAATCAAATTTTGTACCTACTTATGCACGTTTTCTACCTACTTAGACACGTTTTGTACCTCATTGATCAGGAAAAAAATAGTGTACTTATTAATGTTTTGTACCAACTTATGCACGTTTTCTACCTACTTAGACACGTTTTGTACCTCATTGATCAGGAAAAAAATATTGTACTTATTAATGTTTTGTACCAACTTATGCACGTTTTGTACCTCATTGATCTTGAAAAAAAATTTGTACCCACTTATGCACGTTTTGTACCTCATTGATCTGGGAAAAAAAATTGTACCCAATTATTAACGTTTTGTACCTACTTATGCACGTTTTGTACGTATTTAAGCACGTTTTGTACCTCGTAGCTCTTAAAAAAAATTATTGTACCCACATATTCAAGTTTTGTACCTACTTATGCACGTTTTCTATCTACTTAGGCACGTTTTGTACCACATTGATCTGGAAAAAAATATTGTACCTATTTATGTTTTGTACCCACTTATGCACGTTTTGTACCTAATTGATCTGGAAAAAAATTTATACCCAGTTATTAAAGTTTTGTACCTACTTATGCATGTTTTGTACCTACTTAAGCATGTTTTGTACCTCGTAGCTCTTGAAAAAATTTATTGTACCTACTTAATCAAGTTTTGTACCCACTTATTAAAGTTTTGTACCAAGTTAGGCACATTTTGTACCTACTTAGGCATGTTTTGTACCTCATGGCTCTGTAAAAAAATTTCTTCCAACTTGAGCATGTTTTTGTACCCACTTATGCACATTATGTATCTCATAGACCTGGAAAAAATTTTGTACCTCATAGACCTGGAAATAATTAAATTCAAATTATCATCCATACATAATTAATCCATACAACCGCATTATCATCTATACAACCAAATCATCCATATATACATAAACTTTAATTGAAATTATCATCCATACTTGATTAATCGATACAACCACATTATCAGCCATATATGATTAATCCATACAACCAAATCATCCATACGTACATAAACTTTAATTCAAATTTTCAACATTCTTCAGAAACACATGTTTTGTTTTGGCCCACCGTTAACTTTGTTTTGGCCCTCTGTTATCTTTCTCGACCACCACTTGCAACATTTTTCATCTACAAAAAAAATTACAACTTTAACATGACAAATGCATCTACAGTAAAAAAATATTAAATCAAGATTAAATATAATACCTTAGCTAAAGGACAACTCGTTATATAATGTCATTTTAAAAAAATATTAAATCAAGATTAAATATAATACCTTAGCTAAAGGACAACTCGTTATATAATGTCATTTTCCCTTACAAAATCCCTTAGCTAAAGGACAACTCGTTATATAATGTCATTTTCCCTTACAAAATCCACAAAATCTTTATTTTTTTTATACTATTTTCTTGTGCTATCTCCATTCTGGACTTAATTCTAGTAGCTTGTGTTGGTCGTCCCTTCGTGGCAATAGGCTTATCTGGATCACGAATAGTGATTTGAGTTGCTTCCTCTACAGAGATGGGTATGGATGAAGTAGGCATCTTATTGCTGGCATTGCTCTCATTTCCATTGTCGTTATGTTCATTTTCTTTCTTGTAAGCACCAACTTCTTTAAAAAATGAGTCTAAAAAAGCACTGAACTTATCATAAAGTGTACTTGAAGTCAATGTATCTTCTAGTGCCTTGTTACATCTACTCCTGAGGGCCTAATGTTTAATGATAGAGAGTTGGTCTTCACTATTTGAAATGTAATTTCTAACAACTCCGCAACCAACATGTCTTGCTTTAATTGTCCATCGTTGTATAATATATCTTGATGGAATTTCTAATACTTGCTTCTTTACTAAAATGTGCAAGCTATGTTTGCATAATATACCTTCCATCTCAAATTTTGCACAAGAGCACTTAATTCTTTTATCTTTGGATGCATCAAAAACAACATGATGTTTTACCCTCTTCTTGCTCTCAGCCTCGCGATCTATATTCCAAACGGCATAAGTAGCACTTGCGCCGTCCTTCGACAACCTTTCATGAAGCATGGAGTAACTATCCTTGAGTTCTTTCTGAAAGATAGTAAACATATTCTTTGTGTAATTCTTCCTAGCTTGTTTTTCAATGGGATGTTCAATTATCAATGTGGGAACAGAGTTTGTGGACTTAAAATCTTGCTCAAGTTCAGCGGCTCGGCGAGCTTCGACAGCTTTATCATATTGCTTAACAAAATCATGTAACTCGGTATTTGCATTCACAAAATGATCAAAAAAAGGAATTAATTCCCTCACTCCGCTGAGTAGATGTCATTCCTGCAGTAAAAGTGTCTTTAAGATACACTGGAGCCCAATGATCTCGATGATTGTATAAATTTACTAACCAACTCCTTTTATCTGCACCATATTTGTCCCTCATTTCTTCCCAACGCTTTTCAAAATTTTCTTCCGATTTACTCCAATACCATTTGTTATACTTTACACCAACATCCTCACCATAATCATTATGCATTGATTGAAGATTTTGTAAGGCATTCCTACGAAGGTGCCAAGAACAAAAGCGATGGCGAGTTTTAGGAAAAACTTTGTGAATAGCACCACACATAGCTTTATCTTGATCAGTGATGATTGTTACTGGTGCTATACCCGACATACATTTTAACCATTGGCTAAATAACCATATAAACGTCTCCTCCGTTTCATCGGCCAGTAACGCACACCCAAATAGAGTAGACTGTCGATGATGGTTAACGCCCGTAAATGGTGCAAACGGCAATTTTAAATTGTTCGTTCTATATGTAACATCAAAGCAAACAACATCTCCAAATTGCAAGTAAGAATTCCTCGACCTACCATCCATCCAAAAAACACTTCTCATCGTCCCATCATTTTCTAAATCAAGTGCAAAGTAAAATTGAGGATCATATACCTTTTTCTCTTGAAATTGACGAACTATGCTCACGCACTCATGATCGACATTATTTTTTCGTTTAATTCTAAGTTGTGCTTGGCATTCTTGTTGAGTGAGAGAGCCTTGCTCATTTCCATGAGCAACGTCTACAACCTTACAAATGGTCGAAGGCCGTAAACCTTGATTGTCATGAGTATCTATCAACCTTCTTGTCGATTGAGCTCGATGAAGTGTCTGATGTGAGTAGTGCTTCTTTACCTGATTTGGGGTGGTTAATGGATGACCATTATGATTAATGTTTAAATTTCGGACCACCCATTTTTCAGTGCTTCTATCGAGTCCAATAACCATTCTTGCGTTGCATCCACATCTTGTATCGAACTTTCGAACAACATTCCGACCATCTTCTCTTTTATCTTTTAAAAATTTAAATCCTTCCTTGTCACATACATATATTCTAGATATGATTGTATCTTTCTTTCTCGACCAAGTTGTGTGACCCTTGCGAACACCAAATCCCTTAAGTCTAGCGTATGCATTGTAGAAATTATAAGCTTCCTCATGAGTAGAAAACTTCATTCCAATATATGGATCAACAACAAAATTACCTTCACCATTATCAACGCCAATAGGCTCATCAACATTCTGCTCATGCTCGGATGCCTGTAAAAATAGAGAAACAGAAATTACAAAACTCATTATAAAAGACAACTATTTTGGTATATGTCATTAGATAGTAGTAAACAATAAACAATAAGATATTATCACCTGAGAGAAAAAACTTGTCGTAGATAGTAAACCATAGTCCTCGCCTTCAAGGTCAAGGGCTATATATTTGTTTTCATCTTCAACCATTGTTGTATCACGTGAGAGAATTGTTGGCGTGTCCATACAAGCTATCAAATTATCACATATTAGAAGTTCAAAATCTATAGAAAATCATCCTCAAGTTCATCTTTCAATTTCACTAAACAATTTCATTACGATAATTTAGACTAAAAATTGATAATATTCATAATTCATATCCCAAAATCAACAAGAATTAAAAAACTTCGAGGGCGAGGGGATGCAAAAATAGTTTAGATTTGTTTAAATTATTTTCTTGGGAGCTGACAGTTTAAGTCTGTTTCGTATAGACTTTTAGACCTGTTTTCATGTTGGCACAGCGATACAAAAACACAGAGAATGAGAAAGGATGTGCTCTATAAAGGGTTAGCATTTGTGGATTGGTATATCTTGTCACAATACAACTTGGGATTATTTCTCGGGTCATATGCATAATCATTTGTGCTATTATGTGCATGTAAATCAAGAAGAGAGGTTCATACACGCCTGAGGATATGTAAAGTTAAAGTATGATATTAAAAACTTCATCTTTCAGAAACTAGGGAGCAAACATTTTATTTAATATAATGTGAGCACATCATAAGTACTCGAAGTTCTGAAACCTATTTGTTGCATAGTATAAGTCAACAAAATTGAAAGTTAAGTCTATTAGAAAAAAGCTATACTAGTGCAGAATTCTAAATATATATGAGGGCTCATTAAGTATATTAGAGTCCGCATTTGAATTCAATACTTTTAAACAAATATAAATGTGTAACACCTTAGTATTCGATTCGATCGTTATAATCATTTGTGCTATTTTGTGCATGTAAATCAAGAAGAGAGGTTCATACACGTCTGAGGATATGTAAAGTTAAAGTATGATATTAAAAACTTCATCTTTCAGAAACTAGGGAGCAAACATTTTTAATTAAAAACTAACATACCAAATTTTAATTTAAAACCGCAAACTGGAGGGCGCTTAGGCGGCGTGACCGGAGCGGATGTCGAGGGCGTAGTCGAGGAGAGCGGCGTTGAGCAGCTGGAGAAGAGCGGACGGCGACGCCGCTGAGAGGATGTCGAGGGCGGCGAAGTCGAGGAGAGCGGTGAAGTTGAGGAGAGCAGACGTCGAGGAGTTCAAGGCCGCTCGGCGACGTGATCCGGAGCGGGTGTCGAGGAGTTCGAGGCCGCTCGGCGACGTGATCCGGAGCGGGTGTCGAGGGCAAAGTTGAGGAGAGCGGACGTGTAGAATTCCCCAAGATCGCGATTTTTTTTGCTGGGATTTGGCCGATTAAACAATTTTAGAAATTTGTTTTTCTTTAATGGGAAATTGTTATTAAGTGAGGGTTGAGATGTATTTGGGTTTTTTTGAATCAATGGTCAAGATCGCGCATCCTTAGGCTACATCTAGGGAGTCACCTTAGATTCACTTTACCCATATATATATATATATATATATATATATATATATATATATATATATATATGATATAGTTATATATATATATATATATATATTATATATACCCTATATTATATATATATATATATATACTATATATATATATATATATAGGGAGAAGTATTCCTAAGGTGTAGTGTTCCTAATGTGACCACCTTAGATAATCATTAAGATGCGTGCCTAAATCATATTGATGAGCCTAATGTTATGGATGTATCCATCTCCTGTTAAACTTGATCTACATATTCTAACCCTAAACACACCAAGTTTAGGGTGAACTTCGTAGTTGTTTGCCCTTCATCACTCGTGATTAATTTTAACGGTTCGAATGAATAGAACTTTTGTCACATGGCTCGACGGAGGGGTCAACGATTTGATGGGTTCACCCCACTTGGTTGTGTTGGCGGTTTTAGAATAGTACATCCAGTTCAACGAGCGGATTTCATCCACAATGTAGCTCAATCATGTGATTTTAGTCTGCGTCCTTAGATGATTATCTAGATGTGTCACCTTGAGGAACATTTTTTCATATTATAATTATATATATTATATATATATATTATATATATATATAAAGAGAGAGAGAGACGGAGAGGGGAGGAGAGAACGGGAGGGGCCTGAGCTTGTGTGTGAAATTCCTGCGCTGCAAGTCTATGACATGTGAGCCCCCTACTAGTTCACATCGGTGTGTGGGACTCAACATGTCATTATATGTACTTTTTTTTATGTTTGCTTTTGAGATTGTTTATTATAAAACATGAGCTTATAATGTTGAAAAGTGTAGTGTAATTCTATTTTCAATGCAATAAAAATTATTATTTTTTTATTGCTAGAACTTTAGTTCATAATGATATTGTTATTCATCATTGACTCCATACTATAGCTTGGGATTAGTAGAGTTTAGAATATGACATGTAGTATTAGTTTAACTTTTTTTTTACTATTCTGCTTGAAAATATTATTATGTCAACTCATATCTTTTTCTGCGGAAATCAATTATGATATCCCAATTAAGTATATTGATCCCAATTTAACACAAAAATCCATCACATCAAATTTTTATAATGTTTAAATAAAAATTATAACAAATATAATAATTAAAAAGAATCCGACTTATTTATAGTAATAAAATAAAATATTAAACCACATGCATTGCACGTGCATAAAAACTAGTATATATATATATATATATATATATATATATATATATATATATATATATATATATATATATATATATAT